CAGCACATCAATCTCGAACCCTGAACAGCCGGGAGGGGTACCCAAGGGGCACCCAGCCTCTCCTTTCACAGCCCACTTCTGTGAATCATAGTGGCACCTCTTTAATAAAATGTCGTTTACTGGTACCCAGGGCCACATCCTCGAATTAATGAAAACCGAAGCAAATGCAAGCGGGGGAGCTACTTTTTTTATTAATCAGAATTATTTGGAAATTATTTGTTTATTCATTTTTTTATTTGAGGTTCTCCAAGCACTGCTCCCCTGTGTAGATTTTCATTTGTTCTAGTTTAATTGGGATGGGAGTGTGAGGGGGATTCTTGATCTCTGATAATTTTATTCTCTATAACCCTGTGAGCATTTACGGGTTCTCCCGAGACCCAGGAGGAAGAGTGCAGGCCTCAGTGGGAGCCAGCCCCGCCCAAAACTCTCAGGCTGGAGAGGGTACCTGACCTAACCTAGACTCCACAGGGACTACCTTGGGACAGGTCCCCAGTGCAGAGAATAAGTCTGCATGGGTTCAGAGATCACGAGGACAGCGGTGTCCCTGCAGAAATGATGTCTGATGCTCCCTTGCAGGAGGAAAACACTTAGGTACAGGCTGCAGGGCAGGGACTCGGTGAATTTCGGGTGAGATTTCTTCTCATTGCCCAAGCTATTCTCTCCTGAAAGCATCCTCTCTCCCCTTATGCCTATGCCCCCTTGGGGTTAAATGTCATGTTAAATGTCACACTCTCCTCTGTGAATCCCTCCTTGCTACCAAGGAGAGAAGAATGTTTATTATGAGTGGGCTCTCAGGGGCAGATTTCCTGGGTTTGAATTCTGCCTGCATGTGGCCTTGGGGAAGTTACTTAATCTCTCTGTGCTTCAGTGCTTCAGTTTCCTCATCTGTAAAGTGGGCTTAATAAGCAATACCTACTCCAAAGAGTTCTTGAGTATTAAATAAGAAAATTAATATGGACTTGACAAATTACAAATGATGGGAAACTCTATTCAAATTGACTTGGTGTAAGCAAACATGAGATGTATATGCTCATGTAACAGAAAGCTCCAGTGGTATGACTGATTCAGGTATCAAGAGGCTCAGAATATATCAAGGCTGGGTCATCCTCCTCTTCCCATCTCTCATCTCTGTTATTTGTAGTGGCAAGATGGCTGCCAGCAGCTCTATCCTCACAGCCCAAGTCCTCTTTTCTTTCAGCGGTTCCAGCAAAAAGCCAAGGTCACACCTAGTTGGCTCTTAAACAATAAAAATAAAAATAAAAATCTGGTTGCCATGAAGTCAATTCCAACTCGTATCAACCCTAGAGGACAGAGAAGAACTGCCCCATAGGGTTTTCAAGGAGCAGCTGGTGGATTCAAACTGCCAACTTTTTGTTTAGCAGCCATAGCTCTTAACCACTGTACCACCAGGGCTCCGTTGGCTTTTACTGGATGTTCCAGGCTCAACCACACTCCCGACTGATGTCCCTAGTCAACATCACATTCACCAGAAGAACTGCCAGCTGAGCCCAGCCAACTTTAAGAAATCATTGTTGTTTTAAGCCACTAAGTTTTAGGCGTGGTTTGTTATGCAGCAATAGACAAATTCATTTTTTTTTGGCAACTGTTCCAGCACTTTCATTACTGTTGCCCCTAAAGCCAGATGCCTCTAGTGCCATCCTTGCCAACTCTTCCCCTCTCCCCATGGATTTTGGGTGTTGCCTGCCTCCTCACATTGCTCCTTTCTACATAAAAGTCTTCGATGGTGCATCTGGTTGGCAGGACCCGGATAATGTTAGCACCTCAGCTGCAAAGGAGACTGAGAAAGAGTGTTTCTGGCTTTGGGGTCCGGGGTTGCAGGATTCCCCAAACAAAGAAGACTGTTCAAAATGTACTGAGCACCTCTGAAACAGGATGGAGGGCCATTTTTTTTTTTTTCCGGAACTTATTGTGTGCCTGGCACAGCTCTGGGTCCACTCATCTTCTGATGGTAAACAGTGTCCAGATTTCCTTCTGGATGTGTTGGCTCTTACTGGATCACATGTCGTCCTCAAACCAATCACTGAGGTTATGATGTTCTAATTGGTTGGGTCTGAATCCCATGCCCATCCCTGGAGTCAATTCCACCCAAACCATGTGGGTGGAGGGTGAGAAAGGTGATTTCTAGCAGGAAATTCGGACACTGTTTACCATCAGAAGATGAGTGGACCCAGAGCTGTGTGCCAGGCACACAATAAGTTCCGGAAAAAAAAAAAATGGCCCTCCATCCTGTTTCAGAGGTGCTCAGTACATTTTGAACAGTCTTCTTTGTTTGGGGAATCCTGCAACCCCGGACCCCAAAGCCAGAAACACTCTTTCTCAGTCTCCTTTGCAGCTGAGGTGCTAACATTATCTGGGTCCTGCCAACCAGATGCACCATCGAAGACTTTTATGTAGAAAGGAGCAATGTGAGGAGGCAGGCAACACCCAAAATCCATGGGGAGAGGGGAAGAGTTGGCAAGGATGGCACTAGAGGCATCTGGCTTTAGGGGCAACAGTAATGAAAGTGCTGGAACAGTTGCCAAAAAAAAATGAATTTGTCTATTGCTGCATAACAAACCACGCCTAAAACTTAGTGGCTTAAAACAATGATTTCTTAAATTTGGCTGGGGTCAGCTGGCAATTCTTCTGGTGAATGTGATGTTGACTAGGGACGTCAGCTGGAAGCTTGGCTGAGGCTGAAACATCCAAAATGGCTTCTCTCTTCACGTGACTTCTCTAGCAGGACAGCCTCAACTTCCTTACAACATGGTGGCTTGGCTTCCCAGAGGATGAGAATGGAAGCTGCCAGACATCTTAAGATCTAGGCCCATAACTGCCAATTTATTACTTCTGCCACATTCTACTGGCTAAAGCAAGTCACAAGGCCAGCCCAGATTCAAGTGGAGGGTAAATTGACCCTCTTGATAGGAGTAACATGAGCATACAGGAATGGAAGGAATCGTTGGCAACCATCTTTACAGAAAATCTATTACAAAGCAGAAACCCCCAGGACTGCTGCTCCCTTGTCTTCAAGAATAGACTCATGGAGCAGGCAGATTCAGCTAGGGCCTGGGAACTTGAAATGTTCTTTACAAGTCACACTACCAATACCAGCAGCAGCCTTGTGTATAACCTGTTTTTCTATCCCACCAAGGGAGCCTTTGGAGCCTGACTGGTGCAAAGCAGATTGGGGCAAAGAAGATTCTAGAACATTAAGGAGAAGGAACTCGGGCATGTGACAACCAACTGTTAGAGCTCAAGCAAGTTCAGGAGTATCTTAGTTACCTAGTGCTGCTGTAACAGAAATACTACAAGTGGGTGGCTTTAAAGAATAGAAATTTTGTTTTCTCACAGTTCTAGAGGCTAGAAGTCTAAATCAGGGTGTCAGCCATGTTGATTCCTTCCTTTTGGGTAGTCCCAGGCGTTCCTTGGTTCCTTGGCTTATAGACAGTCCTCACAAGGCATCTGTCTTCCCCTGTGTGTGTGTGTGTCTGTATCTGATCTGTTCTTTTATAACTCATAAGTGATTTAGAATCCACCCTACTCAGATATGATCTGGTTAATGTAACAAAGAAACCCAAACATGATTAAATCCACAAATACAAGGGCCAAGAATTCAATACATATTTTAGGGGGACACAATTCAATCTATAGTGAGGGCACTCCATTTTTCCTCTGCAAAATGGGGGTAATGAAAAAAAAAACTATCAGGGTTGTGATGAGGATTTAAAAGAATAAAGCCATCATGGATTGAATCATGTCCCCCAAAAATATGTGTCAACTTGTCTAGGCCATGATTCCCAGTATTGTGTGATTGTCCTCCATTTTGTGATCTGATTATCCTTCATTTTGTGATGTGTTGTAAATCCTAGCCTCTATACCTGTGGTTATGGACCCATTTGGGAGTGAGCTGTTCAGTATGTCAGTGAGACAGGATGAAGTCATGTTAATAAGGATTAGCGTGGGATGCAACACATTTACTCAGGTCACAGCCCTGAACCAATGTAAGGGGAGTTTCCCTGGGGTATGGCCTGCATCACCTTTTATCTTACAAGAGATACAAGGAGAGAGAAACTAGCAGAAAGGGAGGGACCTACTACCACCAAAAAAGAAGAGCCTGGAGCAGAGCACGTCCTTTGGACCCAAGGTCCCTGCACTGAGAACCTCCTAGACCCAGGGGAAGATTGATGCCAAGACACATGGAGATCTCCAAGGAACGCCGGGCCCACAGATGTTGAAAGGAGACAAATACCTTCCCCGAGAGCCAACAGAGAGAAGCTTTCCCCTAGAGTTGGCACCCTGAATTCAAACTTCTAGCCTCCTAAACAGTGAGAGAATAAATTTCTGTTTGTTAAAGCCATCTGCTTGTGGTATTTCTATTATAGCAGCACTAGATAACTAAGACAAAAGGATATGAAAAGTGAT